TTTTTTTATTGTTTATGTTCTGTTCCATGTTTTCTTTTTTCTTGTAGTTGTTCTATTTTGATAGAGTTCAGAGGTTAGACAAAAGGCCTCCAAGAACAATTCCTATCATATCTGCATGGAATAGAGACATGGTTCTTGAGAGGTTGAAGATTGAATTAGAATTGGGATTTGGGAGAGGGAAAATTCTACCAAGGATTGCTGCAGAAGTTGAAGAAAGTCCTAAGGTTATAAAATGATCACTTTTGTTAACATAAATGTTCATTTGTATAATCTGAAATGTTCAACTGCATAATTTTTAATATTCATTCATATAGGTTTTTATGGATGATTTTGTTTCCCTGGTAAAAACAACTTGTTCAAACCTGTCAAAGCTTTCTTCAAAATTGGTGAAGGCAAAGGATATCTTCCCTGGAAATGACTTGGTGAAAAAAAGTTGATGAAGTTTTAGGAAAGGTGGTAGCTAGGGAACCATCAATTCTAAGCCAAGATGAAGAATTCTTTGGCAGTGAGGATTTCCTAAATGCACTTGCACAAGCTGAGAAGAATCTGATGCAAGGGTCTGAAAAGCAAACAACTGAGAAGCAAATGACTGGGAAGAAATTAACCAAAAAGGGAAAGGAAAAAGAACAAGAATATGACATCAGAAAAGCTTTCAGCTTGGGGTTGACTCCACCTTCTCCAGCCATTGGTAAATTCTAACTAAAAGAGACTATATATCCTAATTTTTATATGAAAAATTCTAAATTTGTGGTCTAAATTGTCCTAAACAGAAACAGGGCCCACCTTTTCAACACTTGGTGATATAATTGAACAACCAATAATTTCAACAAATGGTAATATGTTCATATATTTAATAATAATGTACATAAACTTAAGTAGAAATGTTCATTTCTAATTATTATGTGTAAATACTATTAACTTAGTGTATCTCCAAAATGATGATTTATAATACAGCTGGAGAAAAGGATGTGGGTAAAACTTCAGCAGCTTCAGAACAAAGAATTGAAGAATTTTCTAGAACTGGTATAATGTTCAATTAAAAAGTGTAAAATGTTCATTTACAAACAAGAAATATTCATTATTAATTGTATTATTTTGTTAGACGCAGCAACTGGTTCAAAACTTGATGCTGACACTAGGTCAGATAATGAAGGATTGCCTAGAACAGGTATAATGTTCAATTATAAATACTCAAATGTTCATTTACAAAGAAATTATATTATATCTAATTAAATTTTTTCTTAGATGCAGGATCTGGTTCAGTGGTTGATGCTGACCCTAGGTCAGATGGTGGTGAAAAAAGTGATGATCCAAAAAACACAGTTGGAGGTGGAAAACAAAACAAGGAAGATGTTTTTGAAAAAACAAAAAATGATGAAAAAGTGGAGGGGTAAAATCCTGAAGACATGTCTTACTATTAGGGTTATGTAATGGTGTAGGATAAAATATCTAGATGGAACAATTTAACTTATGTTACTATCGTGTTGTAACTTGAAACTGGTGTTTCTCAAACTATTGTATGTGTGAACATTATTTTGTTGAATATGTAATATGAATGTGTGGTTTATGTTAAATCAATAGGTTTATGTTAAATCAATATCTTTCATTTTATGAATTGAAAATGATTCAGGGTGTTACATAAGAAGCTTTTATTTTATTAATATGTACTGACATTGTTTCACTTTTCAGTGAAAACAAGAAGATTGTTGCTTCATCCTCAAAAGTCACAAAAAGGTACATTATTTATATTAAGTAAATGTTCAAAAATAATAATGAACATTTTCATATACCTAAATGTACATTTGTGTTATGTAATATGACCAGGAATGATGATAAGAAAAAGTCAATTGCAGAAAAGAAGAAAAAAACTGAAAAGGAAAAGGTTGAAAGGTATAATTTCAAATTTATTTATATACACTCAAATGTTCATTTATGTTCCTCATAATTTTCTTAATTTAACAATATTTTATATTGAACAACAAGACCAAAACGCGAAAAGAAAACACTTCCTCCTGCTTTCCGATCTCCTTACTTGGTCAAGTACAAGGATCTGTTTAAAGATGAGAAAGCCATGAACCAAATTGCAGTAGACTTTGCTCTTGGTGGAAAAGATGAAAGGTAATTACTTACACTAATTAAACTTAAGGTTTAATATCTTTTATAAAAATATGTTCACATTCATATTATTAAATGTTCATAATGCAGTGCACTCTTATACTATGATGGCTTGAATCTCATCAATAGAAATGAAATGAAAACTCTTGGAGATGATGTTGAAGTGACAAATTGTGTCATAGATGGATGGGCAAGGTTTCTTAATCATAAAAAGCCGAGAAACAAGATTTATTTCTCAACAGTGCTTCATGTTAGTCTTTCTTCTTTTTTTATATTATTGATTCTATTTTCCTATGATAAATAATTGCTAAAAATTCATTTAACTTCTATATGTTTGTTTGTATTTCAACAGCACATTATGTGCACAAATAGAGTTTGTCAAGAAGGATCATCAATGAAGACAAGAATTAATGCCTTCATAGAAAGAATTGACAATGAACTGAAGTTGAATAAAATTGACAGCATTGTTGGATATAAACAGGTATTAATTCTTGTTTAATACAAATGTTCAATTACCTTCAATATATTGTCCAATAACATTATATAATTTGTTCAGGTCTTCTTCCCAGTATCAACTTCTCAACATTTTTTTCTGTTGTGCGTCAATCATATAGAAGACAAAATTCATATAATTGACAATAGAAAACTACCAAAAAAGGTATCAGTCCAAGCAAAATATGAAGAACAACCAAAAATGATGGTGAGATAATATGTTCATTTATAGTTGACTACATGATCAATTATATTTTATTAATTGTTCATGTCTTCATCACAATACAAACTTCTAAACAATTTTTACTCTTTTTTCTATCAGTTAAAAGGATTGGCAGAGTACATGAAACACCTTGGATATCAAGATGCAAAAAGAATTGAAGACTACACAGTTGTTTTGGAAAAGATGAAATGGCGTAGCAACAATGACTATACAAACTGTGGAGTTTACATTATGAAGCATATGGAAACCTTCACTGCTGATCCTAATGAGAGCTGGATTTGTGATTTAAAACCAAACAATGTAAGAGTTATAAATGATCAATTATTTAAGATATAATATTCATTTATGAAACAGTAAAGATTGTTTAATTAAAATTTGACAATTCATTTTGTTCAACAGGTGGAACAAATTAGAAATCTAAGGCTCCAATACACAGCAGAACTGATGTTATTTGAAGAAAACACTGAATCAAGAGCAAATAGAAGGAAAGCTAGAAAATTTGCAACTTTGTAGTTTCAAATGTTCATTTACAACTATGTATATGTTCATTTCTTATATATGACTATTTTTTTTTTTTAGAAGTAGACTTATGGATTTTATTTTAATATTATTGTAATTGATATTTCATTTTAATCTTTGAATGAAAGTTTTTTATATAATAGATCGAAAATTCAAAATTACAAAATAGTAATTAAATCAACATTACAAAAAAGTCTAATGTTTATAAAGTTCTGGAATACTAATTATTTATCTTTATTAGCCAAACGTTTAGCTACACTTGTATCAAAAAAGGCTAACAACCTATCATATTTAGAAGAAATCTTTTTAGAACCTAATTGAACATTTCTTGATTGAAGAATTGGAACACGAGCACCTTGATCATTTCTTTGAACTGTGGGAGGAGTAACTTGAACATTCTGAACAGGAAATCCTTGATCATTTATTTGAACCGTAGGAGAAATAACTTGAACATTTGTTGATTGAACATTCCTGGAGTTGGATATGATCATTTCTGGATTGGTGTTTGAACAATTCTGAGTTTGATTTTGAACATTCCTGGGAACAGTAGGTTGAATAACAACAGGAGATTTTGTTGACGCACTAGTATGAATTGGAACTCTTGGATTAATTTGAGAGTAAGTTTTAACACCAGAAGCACCTTCATTTGCACCAAAATTAGAACAAGGTTGAACAGCAGAAACACCTTCAAGATTTAAATCCTTCGCCTTTAAAAAAATTAAATTGATCATTAATAAACCAGTATATGATCAGTTACAAACACTTATACAAACAAATATGGAAAAAAAAAAACCTTAGCAATAGATGAAATATCAACATCAATAGATATGATAGATGAAAGAGAGCTTTCACCAGTAGCCTACAAAAAAACCAAAAAAAAATATAAAAAATAAAAAATTAAATAAAAAAAAATTATAATATAGATCATAAATGTTCATATACCTGATCAAAATCATTGGAAATACTATGATTTGATTCCTTAGAACTAGAAGGAATTTCTTCTACAACAGCTGATTTTAAGCCGACCTATATTTTTAAATTATAAAAATCAATATTAATAAAATATAAATAAAATGTTTTTTTTGGCACATTTGAATTTACCTGAGCCCGTTTATTGCTCAAAACAATCAATTCAATGGGATCACTAATAGAATTAGCATAAGTAACAGCACAACCGTTCTCATCAAGTTCCTATTTAAAAAAAAAAACATAAATGATCATTTACGAAAACTGAAATGATCAATTTGAAAATATGAAATGATCATATACCTGTACAACTGCTTGCCCTATACCCCTTTTGTAAGGAGTGTACAGAGACTTTTTCCTCTTGAAATTACCCTTTGCCTTGTTACACTGCTTCTCCAAGGTACTCTTAGGCCTTACATTCCTCTCACCTTTAGGCCTAGCTTTTGGAGGATTCTTGATCTCAAGATCAACAATTTCAACCTCTTTAACAGGTTCACTAAAGTCAATTACACCTGATACACTCTCAACCTTTTCTTTTAACAGATTGAAATAACACTCAACCTCTGCCCTTGCATTCAAAGAATTCTGACAACTTGTTATCAACTTAACAAACTTTCTGATTGTTTGTGACCTCCAAACACTAGTAGCCACAACATTTGTCCTCAAAGTAGGTTCTTCAATACCATGACTACACATGGCAGCCTTTGTCCATCGTTTCATTATATACTCTTGTGGAATATTACGCACACAATGCAAATGATATACTCGAAGAGAATGAGAACAAAGTAAACCAGTCTCACTAAAGTACATGCATGTGCAACAAATTGCATGTGTTTCCTTATTAAAAACAACTTCATGCTTAATTATATCCTTCCCAGGCCTCCAAAGAAGATATGAATATTCTGGAAAACGCAAACCATTATCAACATGATCATAAGCTGTCCCCCTAATGAACTCCTCTTCAAAAAGAACATAAGCTTGAATAGTGTACAATGATCTTGCATGAACTAATATACCAATATTAGCAAAAGCTAGGTGCCTATTACCCCTCAGAGTATTGTAATCTCTTGCACCTTCCTTACTTCTCCACTCAGAAATGACATCAAGAAAAACATGATAAAAATCACATAAACCTTGAGTCTTATTAAGACGTTGTGAAACTGACTTATTAGTAGTTTCACTACGTTGAGAAGACAATATACCACCAGACCAATACTTCTTAGAATAAGCAGGACACCACATTTCCTTTATTTTATACAAATCACATAACCAATCATCATTTTCACATTTGTATTTATCACACATCCTGTATAACAGAAATGATCATATATTAATTTAAAAATGAACAAAATATAAATTAAAATATGTACATTTGTGTAAAGAATAATGATCATAAACAATATGGACACTAATAATATTATGATAACATACATAACAAAGTAAATTGTATGATCATATGTAAAACACTAAATGTTCATATATATATCACATAATAATCAAATATATCACATAATAAAAATAAAAAATAAATATAAAAAACAATAATTTACCTTTTCCAGAAATATTCAAATTCAGCAGGAGTTTCACAATACTTCAAAAGATATCCAAACAAATCTGTAAAGCCTTCCAAAGCTCTCAATGCTCCAATGTGTTTCTTAGAATTTTGTTCAAGATGCCATACACATAAACGATGATGAACAGTTGAAGGAAAAATGTTTCTTATACCCGCTGCAATCGCTTGTGCTTGATCAGTCATAATTGTAATGGGACTTTTCCTCCCCATTGAGTGCAAAAATGTATCAAACAACCAATCAAAAGACTCGGTGCGCTCATTAAGAATAAAACCCATACCAAACATGACATTGTTACCATGATGGTTCATCCCAACAAATGGAGCACATATCATTCCATATTTATTAGTTCTATAAGTTGTATCAAAAACCAACAAATCTCCAAAGTAATGATAATCTCTCATCATCCTACCATCACGCCAAAAAAAAACTAACTAAAGCACCACTATCATCTTGTTCAAAATCATAATAAAAATCTGTCTCATCCACATGTCTCTTGGCAAAATATTTAATCAATTGGTTACCATCACATCCTTCAATTTGGGCAGCTTTTTCAGATGACAATGCATTATAAGCATCAGAAGCAGTAAAACAAAGATTAGGAGATCCCCCAACCTCCTTCTTTAGAACCCTCAAAGAATCAGTAACTTTGACTCCACTCAATTTCATTGTTGAAATGAAAAGAAGCTGCTCTTTATTCACATCTCTTTGAGACCTTATCAAATGCCTTTTTTCAGGAGGAATCATAGCATGATTATGAACCATTTCATGTCTTGTACATGTATAGACCCCTAAATGATCAATATGAAACTGCACAAAAGCTAAACAACCAGTTCGATGATCCAACTTCTCATAAATCCTTTTATTCTTACACTTATTATCTTTGAATCCCTCATTACAACAAACAAATCTTTTCATCAAAAAAGAATCATCTCTTCTTCTCTTACTCTTCCCAATTCGAATTCCAAAACCTTTCCTAAAAGCATATTCATTATACGCTTCGAAAGCTTCATCTTCAGATTTAAATTCTTTATCCTTTAATTCAGACTGTTCTGCTTCTAAATACATAATATCATCATTTTTTTCCACTGCACAATATACAATTATAAATGATCATAAAGAGTTTCATGAATGAACAATAACAAATAAGTAAAATGTTCAATATCAAAACAGCACATGATCAATTGCAAAAAGAATTTCAGCACATAATATTTTGAACAATATTTTCATTATTTACCACTACACATAATATCGATATAAAAATGTAAAAATAAATGATCAAAAATGACTTTAAGACTGAACATAAACACATTAGTAACAATGAATAAGAAAACATAAACGATTAATTGAAAGTATAATCTACAAAATATACGACAAAAACACACAATTCTAAAACACAGAGAAAACAACAAATGAAACAACAAATGAAGCAACAAAATGTTCATACAAAGTACAACAATCCAAAAACGTTCATCATAATGTAATCAAAGTAGTAAATTCAAAAATCGAAAGTGAATAATAATACATCAATTAAGTTCAAATTAACAGAGCATTATAACAGAACAAATTAGGGATAATTAAAAATTGAAAAATTATGATCACAATTACTCACATTGTTGCACAAACGAATCAACGAAACGAAGTCCAGAAGGAAACACACGCTCGCAATCGCGATCAAAATCAACGCAATCTCCAGATGCAGAATTCGCCATTGATGATCGGTAACAATTAACGAATTCGTTCAAAAAATCAAATGAAGAAGATGAATTAGCGAGAGAAAAATGTAGATCAAAAATGGAGGTTGGTTGATCAATTGAAGAGAGAGAAAAAATAGGGTTTAAAATCATATATATACATAAATTGAATAATAAGAATCAAAGGAAAAAGGAAAAAAGAGGAAGAAAAGAAAAAAAGAAAAAAAGGAAAAAAAAAAAAAAAAAAAAGGAAAGAATCGCAAAAGGAAAGAAGCTGCACATGAGAACTCAATACCAGCTACAAAACGACGTAGCATAGGGGGGGTGTAGGGAACACACCCTACACTAGGGTGTAGGGTAAAATTTTCAGGTCTAAGCTATACTCTTGTGCACTTTATCTAACCGCAACACTGGCCGACAAGCCCAATTTCAAACGCGCCCTATTAAAAAAAGCCTCAAACCAAAACGAGCCCACCCACAACATCAAACATAACGTTAGAACGCAGCCCACCTACACACATTTATAGAAAACTGTTACTTTCAACTGGTGTTTTTTTTAAAAAAATATAATTTAAAACAAAAACCGTCACTTCCAAACTTAAATTTCTGAAATTTATTTCTCCTCTCTTTAATTTTCTTTCTCTAACAATCAAACACAATTCATTCTCTCACCTCTATATGATTTTCTCTCACTAAAAAACTGAAAAAACAACCACGGACATTCGAGAAGAGATTAAAAATCAAACGGATTCTCCCAAAAAAAGATAGTTCAAAGAGCATTAAATCTAAGATTTAGCATGTTTTCAATATCAAAGCTAGGAATACAATGGACATCCACTACTTATACTCTGTTAACTGATGTGTTCTCATATTTCATTGTATAATGTGTAGTGAAAAATTGGTCGTTTGAGGTAAGGTATTGAATAGTTGAATGGCTTTCCCTATTTAATGCATCAGACATGCACATTTTTGCAACTTTTTACTTCATTGACATCATTCAATTTCTACTTCATGATCTCTCCGACTCCTTGTAACAATGGCTATTCATTATAAGCATTGCAGGTTGTTCTTGATTTAGATGATACACTAGTTTATGCATATGAAATTTTTTTTTAAGTATAAATGTTCATGAAATTTTTTCATGAAGTCTGTTTATGCATATATTCACTTTCTGAAATGCATATGTTCACTTTTTGAAATGCTTATGTTCACTTTCAGGAAACCAATGCATATGTTCATGTTTCTAATACTTATAATACGTATGTTTCATAATCATTTTATTTTTTTTATTTCTTCAATTTTCTTGTGTTCATAATTAAATACCTTATGATCATAATATTTGTTCTGTATGTTCATTCCGCAGGAGGAATTTATGGATGATTTTATTGAGTTGGTCAAAACTTTTTGAAATGCATGTGTTCATATTTTTTTATGCATATGTTCACTTTCTGAAATGCTTATTTTCACTTTCAGGAAACCAATGCATATGTTCATATTTTAATATTTATAATGCGTATGCTTCATAATCATTTTATTTTTTATTTCTTCAATTTTCTTATATTCATAATTAAATACCTTATGTTCATAATATTTGTTCTATATGTTCATTCTATAGGAGGAATTTATGGATGATTTTATTGAGTTGGTCAGAAAATCTGATAAAATTCAATTTATATGAATTACATGTTCACAAACCTAATCAATTGTAATTAATTACAAAATCACCACATAATAAATTGAAATTCATACATAGATCAAATTGATGGAAGCTAACCAAAAATCAAATGAAATTCTATTCATAGAAATTAAACAAAATACAAATACAATTGAAGCTAACCTAAAAAAAAAACCTAATTACAAATCAAACAAACAAAACACTAACCTGCATTGATGATCTCTTCGGGAATAACAACTAATTTCATGTTGTAACCAACAAATTCAATCGAAAAAGTGAAACAAAAGAGAAAAAAAAAACAGAGAAGAGAGAAAATGAAGAACGAAGGAGAAAAAACAGAGGAGAAGAAAATTATGATGAAAATTTGGATCAAAATTATTATAGGAAAGAAAATTGAAGAGAGAATATTTGAAAAAAGGAAACAAAAAATTTAAAAAAGGAAAGCAAAAACGCGGGAAGAATGTTATAGCTGTGTTTAGTGGGCTGCATTTGGGCTGTGTTTCATGCTGTTGCAACTAGAACAGCTACACAAGGATGCATGTAAGAATATGTGAGGGGAAGTGATAGAGTATAAAGTATAGTCCTGAGCTTCAACCATCAGCTTAGGAATATGTTTTATACTATATCAAAATCAACTCAAATAAATTTTGGCCTACATGTGTTTTACCCTATTATTACTTCACAGTTTTTTTAGTTCCATCACTTTTGTTTTACACACTTGTATTTCTTTTGAATTTTTCCTAAGGAATTGTTTAGATCCGGTGCATGCACACGAATAATACTAAGATTATATTATTTAATTATTAATTCAAAGACTATAATAGGTAAAATTTAATAAAATCAATTGGCAAATCAATAGACTATAATCATGTCTCACTTTCTAAATTTTTAATAACAAGATTGATTTTGTAAGAAATTTTCTATATATATACATTATTTAAAAGTTTATTTTCTTTATTTTAACGAAATTTAAAAGTTTATTTTCAAAATGATAGTAGTTTAAACATTTTTAATATTTTATATTTGTTGATAGAAATTTTATAAATTGTTTATTTGTTGAAAGTTCTTTATCAACTATAGATTTGTTTTATTAAAATAAATAAATAAATAAATAAAAACTTCCATGTTATTAATAATTTAATAGTTAGCTACATATAATATTTTTTTTTATTAAATAAAAAGATCAAAATGCAATCTTACGTGAGACAATAACTTCCCTAAGCTAGTTAATTCTGTTAAAAAAATTTAGCTAAATTTCTGGAAAAACGTATTTGTAGACTTCTAGTATTACTAGTGTAGTGGATCTGTGGACGTGTAAGAAGTTTAATAAGGAAGGAGGTTATCAAATATTAATTACATTGATTATTTACGTAATTTTTTCTATAAAATTGTGGTTCTAAGCATGAATCTCAAAAACGTTAATGTTGCAACATCAAAATTGAAAAAGAAACAAAATTATTTATTTTGTAGGGATTTACGGGTGCGCTTCGTAGTGCCTCTACAAGAGATGAGCCGTTTACCGATGGGCAAAATCAATGGTAAATTACTTAAAAGCCGCCGGAAAACAGAATATCATATACTTTTATTCATTAATTAGTCTTATTATACAATATGTATTATTGCTGTATTGCAAATATATACTTTGCAACCAAATTCCAAAATATCATATATATGTATAAGTTGACATCCATATAAACGAAACATGGTAGTAGATATTGTTGGTGATGCATGCCATGCACTTAAATTTCAAAGACTCTAAGCGATGTATGAAGCCGGGCTAATTCCACCAAATATCTTCTTCAAGCGTATTACTTCCTCGGGACTTATGAGGGTGATCTTCGACGCTATTTCAGCAGGTAAATTGCCACCGAATAAGGAGGTGGAAGTGGTTTGTATACCTGGGTTTGCGCCATTCAAGGCAACAAATGCAAGAGCTCGAGTTTTACCAACATTGATCTGGAAGTGAAGTAAGAATTGTGGAAAGATCATGACATCGCCAGCCTCTAATCTTTTATAATATGCAGTGTTGTTTGTGTCGATTATGCCTGCTATAATTGTCCCATTTATGACAACAATAATTTCTGATGTTCGGTGAGAATGGACAGGGACAACTCCACCCACGGCCAAGTCTAACCTTGCCATGGAAAGACCTAGACCATTTATGGCGGGGAATTCATCTACAAATGCTAAAGTTATATTGTTACCAAATATATTTTCAGTAGATTTTTCACCACGAAACCCAGTGAAAACAAAGTCATCAGTAGTGACTTTAGTAGGATCCTTACATGGATATCCTTGGGGCGACCTAGGGAGACTACGGTTTGCAATACAAAAATCGACTTCGATAGTACTAGCATGAGTAAACGAGGCTGAAACAAAGAAGATGAAAAAAAATTGCTAGACTATTCATCTTGAATCTAGAGATTATTAGGTTGATCAAACAAAGGTGCTAAGATGGCTTGACTACTTTTGTGTGTGTATTCACGTTCATTCACAAATCTCTTGGTAACAATTGGCACCCAATATATATGAATAATTTGCTTAACATACATGGAAGTATCCTACAAAAATAAAAAATAATCAAATTTAGAAACATCTTATTAGAGGATTTAATTAGCCTTTTTTGTAATAACAAGTTAACATTATCCAAAGAGTAAGTTTGATAACAAAAGATAACGAAACAAGTGTATTACGTAAATTTGATATTTAACTTATTTGAGATTATCATGTGGATTGTAGCCTAGTCTCGCCTGTTTGTTATATAGAAATAGTGGTGAAGCCTAGTCTCGCCAAGTTGCACATTTCTATTTCAATTTTCATTTTTCGGTTTAATATCAGACGGTAAACAAATTTCTTACAATACATAGGATGTTTTTATAGTCTACCATAATATTTTAATCATAAAATAATATGATCATCTTCATTTTAAAAACATTATGGTATTCATATTTCAATCGACCACTATAAATTCTTACAATATATACGTTTGGTTTCATATATAGCCATATAGGGCTTTGATTTACATCCTTTAATTAATTATCCACAGTTTTGTTTATTAGCTTCACCATAGCGCGCTAATATCAAGCAAAGGCATTTAGGGGGTGTTTGGTTCGAAAAATGGAAACGGAGTAAAAAGGAAACAAATAAGAGGGGGGAAAGGAATCATTTAGCTATTACCTTTTCATTTGTTTGGTTTAACCATGCAAAGGGTATTTGTTTAGAGGAGGGTAAGGGTATTTGTTACCCCAAGTTTTTGAGAGGTAACAAATGAGGGGTAACTATTACCCATAAGTAATGATAATTGTTATCATGCCTTCAATCCAAATATACGGTAACGGTATCGGTTTAATCAAATTCGTTTCCAATCCAAAAAAAACACTAACCAAACACCCCCTTAGGCATATTCAGATCATCTTGTCGTGAACTCCTGATGACTTTTAAACACCAACCATGGCTAGTGGTAGCTATGGATGTTTTTTTCAACCAAATTTATTCATATTTCGTTCGTTGTTATTTAGACATGATTTCTCTCCTACACTAGTGTATAGATATATATATCATCTTTCTTCTTATATTAGTACGGTATAAATCTCGTTGTTGGCATAGTCATTGTTGGTCCGAGGGAGAAGTTGTAAGCTACCAAGTATAGGGCACGTTGCTCGCTACCACTGACAAAAATACCAAACCATTGGAAAATGTTATAAAAAAATAAGTATTTTCTAAAGCATCATTGGAGATAATAAGGGTTTCAAATAATGTATCGTTGTGATAAGGAAATAATCTTAACACTTTTTTTTTTTTTTTTTTTTTTAGGAAAAATCTTAAAACCCTATCATTCACTATATTTCTATTTCTTAGTACCCCAAAAATGCCCTCCTAACTATATTCAATCCACCAGTGATATAAATTAAAATACTTCAATAGTTTCCTAGCTTTTTATTGTTGAATTAATAAATGTAAAAAATATAGAGAGAATGAAACAATAATAATATTCTTATGGATCTCTAAACCTTAACATGTAGTACACTACATAATTTATAGTAGAGTAAAACTACCAACTAAAGCTATAAAATAGGAAAAAAAGTTATCATGTTCGAATATTTGCTTCAAATTGTTAGTAATAGCTCTACTAAAATATGCTCTACTAAGGGAATTTTTTTTATTTATTTATTTTTTTTTTTAAGAGGAGAACGGGAGAGGGGGGGATATTACTAAGTGATTAGTTTGTGTTAGTGGAGTCTTAAGAGTAGTGGGTTAATGTTACTATGTTAGCATGACCAAATAATATATGATCACGTGGGATCATGTTCCTTATTTTTTAGCTTAATTTTGCACCTTTTTTTTTTGGATCCTAGGATCTGACCGAACCTCAACCCTCATGGTTTTTTTTTCGTCCGGTATTTGCGGATCAGACACTTTGAGAGTGAGAGGGAAGGGTAAGAGATCCCCCACCCTCAAAGTGCCTCTAGTGGGGATTGAAACCCCCAACCTCAAGGTTGGAAGGTGCAATCTTTCCTACTAGACCAAGCTTAGCTTGGTTTTTGCACTATATTTATTGTTGTGCGACAGCGGAAGCAAAGGTCGAAAACAAACAAGAAAACAATAAAGAAATTCAATGCAAACAATAAGAACAACACCAAGAATTTACGTGGTTCACTATCGATGTGATAGCTACGTCCACGGGCACCGAGATCGAATGATTTCACTATAAACTGCAAAGATTACAAAGATGATTCTTGTATTTCTCAAGAACGGCTTTCACTCTGTCTCTCTTAACCCTAATACTAATATTAGGGAGGTTTTATATTAATCCCTAAAATAAAAGATACTTGGGCAAAAAGATAACATAAAAGATAACTTTAAATCGTAAAATCCGCGTCTCCGCATTTTTCCTTCTCCGCCCGGTCAGACCGGGCAAGGTCTGCCCGATCGGGCGCGAGAAGAAAACTCCATACGAATGCTTCAACGTATCCAACCCCCACCGCCCGGTCAGACCGGGCAAGGTCTGCCCGATCGGGCGAAGGCTCGCCCGGTCGGGCGAAGGCTCGCCCGGTCGGGCGCGAGAGCAGCTTCTTCAACGAATTTGCCAGGCACCTCTTCTTCTTCCGCCCGGTCAGACCGGGCAATGTCCGCCCGATCGGCGGACAAAGCTACGAAGTACGAGTCACCTAATATACTTATCAACAATCTCCACCTTGACGAGAACTCGTAGTCAGCAAACGACCCCATCAAGACATAGTGAAAAAACATCTCAAGCCAAACCCGATGCAGGACTCATGCATAAGCCATACATCCGATAAGTCTTCAACCAAGACCCATCACATACTCGTCTCCAAGTATAACAACTCATAATGCTCCACCTGCATCACAAGCCCCGGGCAAGCTCCACCTTAATGCCAACACACCTACACCAGGAGCTCCCCAACTTCGCCCCTCAGGGCCTACTACATCACGTAGTAATCAATATTTAGCAAGTCTAAGCAATGTTTAAACTTGCTAAACGGAACAGGCTTAGTGAAGAAATCAGCCGGGTTGTCAGCAGTCCCAATCTTCTTCACCTTAATCCTCTTGTCAGTACGCAAGAAATGATACCTGACATCAATGTGCTTCGTCCGATCATGGTGTACTTGATCTTTAGCTAAGCAAATCGCACTTAGACTATCACAATACACTGTAGCAAAATCCTGTGCAATACCCAGTTCACCTACTAGGCCTTTGAGCCAAATAGACTCCTTAGCTGCAGAAGTTAGAGCCATATACTCAGCTTCAGTAGTTGACAACGTAACTGATGACTGCAATGTAGACTTCCAACTAACCACAGAACCACCCAAAGTGAACACATAACCAGTCACAGACCTCCTGGTATCCACATCAGCTGCATAATCAGAATCACTGTACCCAGTGACCAAGCATTCCTTACCATTCCCGTACACAAGACCAATATCAGCTGTCCCTCTCAGGTAGCGAAAAATCCTTTTCACCCCTTGCCAGTGTTCCCTCCCAGGTCGAGCCATAAACCTGCTTACAACACTAACAGCATGCGCAATATCCGGCCTAGTACAGACCATAGCATACATCAAACAACCAACCGCGTTTGCATATGGAACTCTAGACATATAAGACAACTCCTCCTCTGATTGAGGTGACATAGACAAAGACAACTTACAACTAACAGTAGTTGGCGTACTTATAGGCTTCGATTTTTCCATCCCAAAACGAGACAGAATCTTTTCAATGTAGCTTTTCTGAGTCAAGAAAAGCTTACCTCTAGCCCGATCCCTGTAGATCTCCATACCCAAAATCTTCCTAGCTGCACCCAAGTCTTTCATGTCAAACTCCGAGTTAAGCATCTCCTTTAATCTAGCAATATCAGATTTATTCTTTGTGGCAACCAACATGTCATCAACATATAACAAAAGATAAATCATGGAACCATTATCCAGCTTACTATGATACACACAGCAATCATATGAATTCCTGTCAAAACCTTGTGAAACCATAAAAGAATCAAACCTTTTGTACCACTGTCGGGGGGATTGCTTAAGTCCATACAATGACTTTAGCAATCTGCAGGCATAGTGTTCCTTTCCAGGAACTTCGAATCCTTCGGGCTGCTTCATCAGAATCTCCTCCTCCAAATCGCCATGAAGGAAAGCCGTTTTAACATCCAACTGCTCCAGCTCAAGATCAAAATGTGCTACAATTGACAATAACACACGGATAGAAGTATGTCGAACCACAGGTGAGAATATCTCAACAAAGTCAACCCCTTCTACCTGACTGAACCCCTTAGCAACTAGCCTAGCCTTAAAACGTATTTGCTCAGTTTCCGACAACCCTTCTTTCTTCTTGTAAATCCATTTACAACCCACAAGCTTCCTCCCTTCCGGTACCTTTACCAGTTCCCACACTCTGTTCTTGTAAAGAGACTGCATCTCTTCACCCATTGCGGCAAGCCATTGCGCAGACTCACTACAACTAATTGCTTGTTTATATGTGGCAGGTTCAAATGACTCTACATCATCAGCTACACTCAATGCATAACCTGTCATCGCATCAACACAGCAATTTCTTCCCTCCATCTCTTCAATCAATCTAACAGGCTTCTTGATAACTCGTTTAGGCATCTCAAGAATGGTGTCAGGTTGACTAGATGACCCCTGATTAGATTGCTCCACCTCATCCCCAGAGTTAGAATGAGTAGGAGTAATCTCAGGTTCAGGAGTACCCGGCACTGGAACATCAGCATCATCATCAATATATTGTACCCGAGGTAAATCAGCAATGGTAGACTGATGTACCTCAAGTACCCCATCTGTCTGTAATAAATTGTCTCCTTCCCTTCTCAAATCTGAAATCTCTGCATTTTTAATTGAATACATGGTGTTTTCATCGAAAGTAACATCCCTACTAAGAATGACCCGACCCTCCGAAGGTGAAAAAATTCTAAACCCCTTCACACCATCCCCGTACCCAACAAAACACCCCTTCTTGGCTCGTGGATCCAGCTTACCCTCAATAACATGATAATAAGCAACACAACCAAAAATCTTCAAATTCGAAAAATTAGGCAGCTTACCACTCCAGATCTCAAACGGAATTTTGGAATCAATTCCAGAATGAGGACCCCTATTAATGACATAACAAGCTGTTAACACAGCTTCACTCCAGTACCTCCTCCCAAGCCCTGCATTAGAGAGCATGCATCGAACTCTCTCTAGCAGTGTCTGATTAACCCGTTCTGCTACACCGTTCTGCTGTGGTGTCTTCCTGACAGTATGATGCCGACCTATACCCTCATCTGCACAGAACTGATTAAACTCGTCTTTGCAAAACTCTAGCCCATTGTCCGTTCGTAGCTTCTTGATCTTCCTTCCTTGTCGATTTTCCACCAAAGCTTTCCATTGCTTGAAAACTTTGAAGGCCTCATCCTTTGACTTAAGCAACCTAAGCCATGTGTATCGGGACTTGTCATCAACAAATGACACAAAATAGTGGTAACCTCCCATACCTTCAACTCTAGATGGACCCCAGCAATCTGAATGGATGTAATCGAGCACTGCATCAGTAATGTGAGCACCCTTGCTGAACTTTGACCTGTGTTTCTTACCAAACACACAATGCTCACAAAATTCAAGGTTGGCAACCTTGACCCCGGATAGAAGACCCCTCTTGGACAATAGCTGCATCCCCTTCTCCCCCATATGACCAAGCCTCATGTGCCAAATCTTAGTCATCTCCTGGTGAGATACAGATGCGCAAACCGCAGAACTAGGCAGTGTAACACCCTCAAAAACATAGAGGGTGTTCCTTTTGATACCCTTAAGTACCAACTCAGAACCTCTGAAAATACACAACTCCCCATCTGAAAACACACCATTGTACCCCAATTCATCCAGGGTACCCAATGAAATCAGATTCTTTCCTAAAGCAGGAACATGCCGTACATTAGTCAAAGTTAACCTCCGCCCATCAACAGTCCTCAACCTCATGGAACCAATACCTGTGACCTTACATGGAGCATTGTTACCGACTATAACCATACCCCCATTGCGAGGTTCATATGTATCAAACCAATCTCGACGTGGACACATATGGAACGAACACCCCGAATCTAGAACCCAGTTATCAGATAAATCATCAGACCTAGCAGAACTGACTAATGCTAAATCTTCCTCTGAATTATAGCTCTCATTCGGTTTCTCTTCAACTACAGCAGCCTGGGACTTGTTTTTCCTCACCGGACAATTATTCCTAAAGTGACCCGGTTCTTTACAGTAATAACATGTTTTAGTAGTAGTTTTACTAGATCCATCCTTGCCGTTTCCAGCACCCGACCCAGCATTGTTCCCCTTGTTAAACCCCTTATTCTTTTTAGACTTTCCGGACTTAACAAATAACCCACTACCATTATCCCCATTATCACTCGTAGCTTTCATTCTGAGTTCCCTAGTATGAAGTGCTGCCTTCACTTCTTCTAAGGTTATAGAATCCTTACCAACAACAAAAGACTCTACAAAATTCTCAAAGCTAGACGGTAGAGATACAAGTAAAATCAACGCAGCATCCTCATCATCAATTTTAACATCTAAATTACGTAAATCAAGCAAAATAGAGTTAAGTTTTTCTAGATGTTCCCGTAAGGAAGTACCTGACTGCATCCGGAGGCTAAACAACCGCTGTTTCAGTAATAATTTGTTGGTCAACGACTTAGTCATATACAATGACTCCAGCTTCAGCCACAATCCAGCCGCCGTTTCCTGATCAGCAACCTCCGTGATGATTTGATCATCAAGACTAAGTAATATGGTAGAGTGTGCCTTCTCTTCCATAACTTCTAACTGCGAGTCAGTCGGTCCGTCTCCTGACTCCGAAGTAGTACTCTTTGGAGCCAACGGACGCCATATCTGCTGTTGTTTTAACAGAGCCTTCATCTTAATTTGCCATAGCCCGAAACTATTTTTCCCGGTAAACTTCTCAATTCTTATTGTTGAATCTCCTGCCATTGTTATCTTCAAGAAACTCTCCAAGGATTGAACCTGAGCTCTTGATACCAATTGTTGTGCGACAGCGGAAGCAAAGGTCGAAAACAAACAAGAAAACAATAAAGAAATTCAATGCAAACAATAAGAACAACACCAAGAATTTACGTGGTTCACTATCGATGTGATAGCTACGTCCACGGGCACCGAGATCGAATGATTTCACTATAAACTGCAAAGATTACAAAGATGATTCTTGTATTTCTCAAGAACGGCTTTCACTCTGTCTCTCTTAACCCTAATACTAATATTAGGGAGGTTTTATATTAATCCCTAAAATAAAAGATACTTGGGCAAAAAGATAACATAAAAGATAACTTTAAATCGTAAAATCCGCGTCTCCGCATTTTTCCTTCTCCGCCCGGTCAGACCGGGCAAGGTCTGCCCGATCGGGCGCGAGAAGAAAACTCCATACGAATGCTTCAACGTATCCAACCCCCACCGCCCGGTCAGACCGGGCAAGGTCTGCCCGATCGGGCGAAGGCTCGCCCGGTCGGGCGAAGGCTCGCCCGGTCGGGCGCGAGAGCAGCTTCTTCAACGAATTTGCCAGGCACCTCTTCTTCTTCCGCCCGGTCAGACCGGGCAATGTCCGCCCGATCGGGCGGACAAAGCTACGAAGTACGAGTCACCTAATATACTTATCAACATTTATGTTGCTATGTATTTAGTTTTTAATGGATTGTATACATAAAAGTTCATCTTTCTCCCCTCTCTCTCATCTCTCTAATTATAATTTCAACATTTCCTACCATTCACTAAGTTCATTAATTGCATCTTGCATGCATGGCCTTCTCATTAATACTAAGGTTTAGATTATAATGATAACTTCCGCTGGCACAAAAGGAAAGAAGTTTAGCTAGAAAAAGGAACTCATTAGCTTAGTAAATAGGATGCAATTTCCTCGTTAACCAAATTAAAAATAACGCATTTGAGCAAATAAGTTGAAATGGAGGGAGTAAGATTAAAGATTGTGGTTGAAAACTTAAGGTGTCACGTTAATTAATAATCACTCATTTAAAAGGTAAGGTACATCGTCCATAGTTGCACAATTGGTAGAAGTAACCTTAGCATATGGCAATAATTTGCAAATACTCCGTATATATGGTGAAGTAATCAACAAGAACAGGAATAAAGTTGAACAAAAAAATGGGATATGATATTTTTGTACTTGTATATGGTTAGGTGATCTGATCTTGCAACGTAGATGTTGTGGTTGTGTAGTCAATCTCATCAAATTATTTGGTTGTTGTTATTGATAAAATCAAACATAATAACCAATTTAGTACTCATTATTTCCATATAAAATTGTGCATGTACTACAACGTAAAGGCTAGCTTAGACTACAATCCAACGAATGCACTGTAAATTAGTAAACTTCCAAAAAAAATGAATAAGTTCAAATACCTTGCTTTTTTCCATGCTGGTACTTCCGCGTGAAGTGTTGATGTAGCAACACCTAAGCACAAACGGCCCTCTCGTACATCTTTTTTTTTTTTTTTTTTTTTTTTTTTTTTTTTTTTTTTTTTTTTGTTGTTGTTCAAAGAGGTTTAATAAATTAATTAGGCCTCATCAGAGAGGTCAAAAGTCATAATACATGAAGTGTCATATAGAATAATTAGGAGCGATTAACAAATAAGGATAAAATATTAAGTCTACAAGTCTACTCATACTAGTACTATTACAATCAATGATGGGATTTGCAGCTAAATTCCAGTGGACTTCACTTCCTTCAGGCACCAGACCAGCTTGGTGTGCCATGAGATGAGGTTGCAGGACTGTCTCTCTTGGGAGACATTGAACACTCTTCACCCGCTCCCTTATATTAATTCTCTGCAAGCATTAGACATGTTAAAATATTTATCTCTAATCTTTTGGGTGCCAAGAATGCCATTTACAACAGTTCTAGAGTTAGTAATTATGGTGACATCTTCCCAATGTTTTACATTAGCCCAAGCTTCTGCTACTAAAATAGCAAGATACTCTGCAAAATTTGCATTTTCCATTTTTAGTTTCATTACAAAACCCCCTTGCCACTCCTAAGAAGAAGTGTAGCAGATGGCAGCTATTCATTCCGAGGGAGCTCCACTTTCTCATTATGAGAAACATTTTTGTTTCTCATAATGACATTTTGGAAAATAATGTGATGTTTTTCACTGGTGGAGACCGCGTATGTGTTATGAGTGGGAGTCTCAGATCTTGACACATACCCCATGAGAAACAAAACTTGTTTCTCACAATGAGAAACAGAGAATTACCCATTCCCACTGCTAGTGAGTTTGGGTGCTGCATCTACTCTAATCTGGATTTGAGATTTATGGAAGGGATGAGAGAGCTTAGATAGAGGATTATTTGGGATGGCCACAGTTTGGGCATAATGAAACTCTGAAGAGAGCCACTTAATTGACTTGAGAGCATCAAGGAGAGGATTGTTTTTTTTTGAGAGAAAATCCGAGCATTTCTTCTTTTCCAGATTGTCCAGCAGGCAAAAGCAAAGACAACAGGACATGGGGAGATCAAGGTCCCAATTAGGATGATCAAGGCAGGCCAAGACCTCATCGTTCGTCCTTTAACTATCGCTAAAGATGTTATTATCCATGACCATCAAGGCATTGATCAGTATCAATATCGGATCAAGTAAGCAAAAAACAGGAGTAATTTCGCTTTGAAAGCACATCAAAAAAATATAATAAGTACAATCAAGTAGCACGAAAGCTATAAAATTGGTTACCTTTTTTATTTGAGGTTCATCATTTTACATATTCGAAATGAATGATCTTCTAACATGTACGTATATTATTACGAATGATATACTAGTATAAAGTTGAACTCATACAACCATTTGTTTAATTACACAGTAATTAGGCTACAATCCAAGGACCAACAATAAAGTTCAAACTACTTGAATGGGTTTTATCACCTTTTAGTGTATTACGTGCTAGATAACATAATCATTGACATGTTTTCAATTACTAGGCTATGCTATGTTTTTTTTTTTTAGGTTACAAATGAGTCGTGTGCTACGTTGGTGGACATTTTTGCTAGGTTTGGGGACATTGGTCAACAATTGAACTTAAGTAAAATGTCCAATTACTACTGTATGACATAATCATTGACGACATGTTTTTGATTACCAGTCCAATTGAACTAGCTCAACAATTAATTCATTACGTGCTAAATAACATAATCATTGAAGTGTCGATCAAATTGATGCACTTAAAAAACGGAGGGAATTTAGATTATATAATAATGACTAATTAAACCCTAATGGAGTTACTCCAAAAAAAAGGGGAAAAGGCCGAAGGCCTAAAAATTCAAAAATAAATAAATAAAAAACTAGCAGCCCACAATAAATACCTTAAGTTCCGGAGGCGTGGCCCTGCAAACCCCTATTAATGGCCACATGGTGTCCTCAATACCCTAATTCGGGGCATGTCGCCCTTGACCGGCCCGACTCGCTTACCAAGCAGGCGGGCAGCGAGACCTTCATGATAGTCGTTCGTAGAGAGTTAATAGATTCAAGACATATTTTAACATTACCTATATTTTATAATAATAATAATACTTTTAATTAATTTGATATTATATAGTAAGAAAATCACTAAAAATAACTTAAGGTTAATTGTTACATATTAGTTGTTTGTCCGAGGTACAGGCATGAACAACAGAACAACGGAGTCAACTGATACCATGACCGCCATGGACAATGAAGTAAATGTTGACTCCTGACATAAATGCATTGGTATAACTTTGTATTTATTATTTTCTTATTGCACAACTAGGCGTGCTAATGGCAAATTAGAGCATTAGATTCATGAACATGCAAATGTAAGAATATTTTTTACTTTTTTTTTGTTTTTTCCATCACACAATTAAATTTGGCATGCTAATTGCTCTACGGCAGGCAGAATCTTAGTTTTTAATGTCATTCATTTTCATTCACATTCTGTTATACATAAATTTACCGTATTTCATCTCGCTTATCAAAAATTTTTGGTGCAATAATAGAAGTACAATAATTTCACTGTACAACATTCGGTTTAGCTAGAATACTTTATAATCGATAAATTTTTAACCTATTATGATTTTCACATTAGTAATTAATTTTTAAGAGAAAGGATTTATTAAGAATTTTATACATGCCTACGGGCCTGTTAGGATTTACTGAATTGAGCTGAGCTGAACTGAACTGAACTGAGCTGAGCTGAACTGAACTGATTGGAGCTGAACTGAACTGAACTGAACTGAACTGAGCTGAGCTGAGCTGAACTGAACTGATTGGAGCTGAACTGAACTGAACTGAACTGTTTATGAGAGAAGGAAATCAAGAACTAAACTGAACTGAACTGAACTGAACTGATTGGAGCTGAATTAAACTAAACTGAACTGAACTGATTGGAGCTGAATTAAACTAAACTGAACTGAAATTAAGCTGAAGAGAACAGGCCCTACATTTATACATAAGCTAGCTAGACCAGTTTTTACATTAAATTTCTTGTATAGAGAGCAAATTAATTAGAAACGCATAGGGTAAATTTTATAGCTAACCTTTGATCATTTTAGAGTAACTTTACACCTGATCTACAATAATTATTGCACATTTGTTTTTTTTTAAAGTTTAACCTCGCCTATACCGTTATTAGATAGAAGCTGAAAAAAGCTGAAAGCTAATTAAGGGAAACATGTTAATAAGACAGGGTATAGACTTTGATAATAAAAACTGTCTTACCATCATAAAATCACTTTGTCGAAGGGTTGGCCAAGGAAAAAGAAAAGTTGGATAGCGTCACATACTCGCATGCTTAATCACAAAAGTGGTCGTATTATATGATTGTAAAGCGTTTTACACAAAAATAAAATTTGTTTGGTTAATCAACAGAACACTAGTAGAAAAAATGAAATAGGCACCGCAAAATGCGCACCGGTTTTTAAAAAATTGGTGCGAAAAAAATAGGCGGGATTGAGGGGAAGACTTTTCGCACCGGTTCTAACCAAACCGGTGCGAAAAATGAGTTAATCGCACCGGTTCGGTTCGAAAGCTATTGTTAAAAAAAATAAAAAATAAAAAATAAACGGCCATTTTTATCTTCTTTCTTTAATTTCTCTTTCTGTCTTCTTTCTTAATTTCTCTTTCCTCGATCTCTCCTCCTCTCTCATCTGCCTCTCTCTCCTCAAACAAACCCTAATCAACAAGAATTGGGAAGTAGACGAAGATGAAGACCTAGATTAAACGTCGTTCTTGGCCTAACTTCGGTGATGCTGTTCATGAAGAAATCGGCGCTCGTCAAACTATGGTTTCTACTGAAGAAATCGACCTTGAACGACCTGTTGCTCCTGGTTTGCTTCGATTTCGCTTCCTTTTGGTTTTGATTTTGGTTTTTTTTTTTTCCTGTTCTTAATTTTGATCTTCGTTGCGATTGATGAATTGTTGGTTGATTTTGTTGTTGTTGTTTTAGGGTTGTCGAATCTGGCTGTGTTATTCATGTGTTATTGGATTGATTTTTAATGGATTTACTCGTGAATTTGTTCTATGTTTGAGTGATTTTTGCCAATTGAGGTTAATTGGAAGAAATTAAGGGTTTCTTGATTTCTCGAGGCTGTTTGTGGAATTTTGGGGGAATTGGAGATGGATAGGGGTTGCGGTGGTGGTTTCGTGGGTGCGGTGGTGGGTGTGGTGCGGAGGAATTAAAATCTCTCAAACAGATTGGGGCCTCTTTTGCTTTGCAGATTCTCAAGGATGATGAAGGACCTTTTAATTTGGCTATGGCTCATTTGAAGTTGAATGGTGACAAAAGACTTTATGGAACTTTTCAGCCTGTTGGGAATGATGACTCTCAGAATGTCAAGGGAATGTGAGTACTTTTTGTCTATTCTTAAAATTTCTATTAATCATTTCTGTTTATAGTGTAACAAGTATTAGGTCAATTTAATTTGTTGAAAGTGTAGTATTCTAGCTTTCTATGTGTTTTTTGCATTTCTTGCAAAGTTGCAAAAATTAATCTTTTCTGGAGTACATTGTTTTCTGCTATTATAATTGTATAAATATGCTAGCCCTTGCCAAATTCCTACATTTATCTGTGGAAAAGTTTCATATTATTTGTTTATGCAGATCGATGCTTGCTCGTGACCTACAATCCCCACGAGCTCTATTGTCTTGTATGATCAAGATGGAAAATTTGTGGGGGTTCGATGACCAAACTCGAAACTTCCAATTGACATTGATGGGATAAAAATTGAAATTCTAGATGCCATAGGAAGTACATGCCTTGAACTAAAAGTAAGTTCTAGGAGATCTTCCAGATTTGTCAATTCTTATTACCTCATTTAGCTTCCCCTTGGCTAATCCACATGTCTTTTCAGACTGACCCTGGAGTGCCTGTTGTATATGCTGGATTTGGTGCTCTGATGCTCACAACATGTATCAACTATTTATCTCATGCACAGGTGATTTTCTGAGCTCTTGATTATCACTCTTCAAGGACTTGTTACGCAATTGCTACTTGGATATACTAGTTCATATATTGATAAATGCCCTTTTCACATATGTGGCTAGCTATCATATTCAATTAGAGAAGTTTCTACTACTTGTAAAAGCATTGTTTCTTATCGGAAAAATAGGATGTAGTTGCACATGTCTTGATGTTCCTATTGCTTTCAACCCGCTCTCTCATTTGGAGTTCAAATACTCAACAAACACTACAAGAAAACAGCTTGATTCCGACGGAAAAAATCCGTCGGAAACATCGGAAATTCCGTCGGAAAATGGTCTTCCGACAAAATTCCGTCGGAATCTGTCTGTCGCAAAACTCTTTGTAGGAAATTCGACCTTTTTCGACGGAATTTCCATCGGAAGGCTTGTTTTCGACGGAATTTCCGACGGATCTACTTCTGTCGGTGCCTTTTTTGACTTTTTAATTGAAATTCCGTCGCAATTTTCCGATGGAAATTTCCGTCGGAAGAGGTGTATTCCGACGGAAATTTCCGTCGGAAAAGTCAATAAAAAAAACTGCCCCACCCAGATCCACCACTACCCACACCCTTGCTCACCACCCCAACCCACCCCACCGCCACCCCCTAACCCACCACCCCCACCCACCAAACGTACCACCGTAACCCCAACCCACCCCACCACTATAACCCCATTAGCCACCCCCTAACCCACCACGACCACCACTAAACCCTAACCCACCACCAGATCCCCCACCCAACCCAAACCCACCCAATCCAGATCTACCACCCAACCCAAACCCACCCAATCCAGATCTACCACCCAACCCACCCACCACCACCCCACCCCACCTAACACCGTACCCACCCTTCACCACCCTACCCCACCTAACACCGTACCCACCCTCCACCACGTAAAAAAAAATTAAAACACAAAAAATAAATCCAAAAAATGAGAAATAAAAAAAAGAAAAAAAAAAAAAACTAAACAACCACCCACACACTACCACCATCCACAATTAAAAATAAAAAATAAAAATCCGAAAAAGTAAGAAACAAAAAACAGAAAAAAAAAAAACTAAATAAAAAAATTTTGCAAACTAGATCTAAAAAAGAAAATCAAACCAAATTAATACACCGAAAACGAAGACATACCTTCAATTCCATCGAAAAATGTCGAATTTGGGCTTTAAAGGTCAAATTCGACCATGAAAACTCTAGATCTAGAGTTTTCATGGTCGAATTTGATCATAAACACCATAATTATTCGCTTGTTGACGAAAATCCAAAAACCCATAGCAATTTGTTGTTGAAAATCGAGGAAAAAAAAACCAAGAAGAAACAGAGAACGAAAGTGAAGAGGAAAGAGAAGAAGGAGAAAGGAAATAGAAAAGAAAGAAAAGAAGGAGAAAGGTGATGGAGAAAGGAAAGAGAAACGGAAAAGAAGAAGGAGAAGAGAGGAGAGAGAAGGAGAAGAGAGGCGGAGAGAAGAGGAGAGGAGAGAGAAATGAGAAATGCAAGGGGAGGGGGGAATCCGGGTTTTTTTAGGGTTTTTTTTGGGAGATTTAAGGGTTTTTTTTATTATTTAATTATATTCCGACGGAATATTCCGTCGAAAATTTCGGAGGGATTTTATTTCCGTCGGAAAGCCCATAAATTCCGACGGATTTTTATTCCGTAGGAAATCCGTCGGAATTTATGGGATTTCCGGCGGAAATTCATGTCTGTCAGAAGATGTCCGTCGGAAATAGGCTTATTTCTTGTAGTGAAAACTACTTCATACTTGGTAATTTCTTCGGCACTTTCATGAGCAGGAGTACCTACCTATATACTGTGTTTCGGGTGAAAACAATGGGACC